CGACCTTGTCTAAGCTGGTATTCTGTGAGATGGTTTATGTCCAACAGAAGAACAATATAGCTTAGTGTCGAATGCCTGGCCAGCTTCCGAATGTCAGGAAGAAATGCTCTTTTCTTCCTCAAGTACAACATAAAAGGGAATTGGAGTGGCTGCTGGGTAAGCAGATTTATTTATTTGCCCCAGGTATCATCATACTTAATGGTGAAACTGGTGTTTCCCACCAAAGTCAAGTATGCCCACTATCCAGGATCACTTAATATTTCCCAAAAGTTTAGTGAAAGCAGTAAGACAAAATGAAATAAGAGAAAAATCTTCAGAAAGGAGGAGATAAATTATTACTTGGATATAATTGCCTACCTGGGCATTAAAGAAAAGCAACCGAAAAATTATTAGGAGTAAGAAGTGTTGAACAAGTCTGTTGGTTACAAAATCAGTACACAAAAATCAATGTTTATCTTTTAAATCAACAATTATCAGTTAGAAAGTACAATTTAAAAAAGGCATTAAGATAGAGGCTAAAATATAAGATATCTAGGAATAAACTTGACATAAGAAAAGTATGCAGGACCCATATAAATAAAACTAAAACTTCACTGGGAGATGCAAAGTCTTAAATAAATTGTAGGGCATACCACATTCTTGGATGGCATCTCAATAATTCTGCCATTTCAATTCTAATAAAAATGTCAAAAGTATTTTTTTTAACTAGACAATATAATTCTAAGGTCACCTGGGAAGATTAATAAAAGGCTGAAGAATTTTTTGGAAGATTGAAGGGTGACTTACACTGTTAGAAAGAAAGATTTATTATCAAAGTAGCATGATTCTTGCATAAGAATAAAACTAGCCCCCAAACAGGCTCAAGTATATACATTTGGTATAAGATAAAGGTGGAGTTTAAATATTCTTATGCTTCTGCTTGAAATATAGAAAGCTGTTAAGCTGATCTAATAATGAGGAGATGACAGATAAACTATAAAATCCTTCCTTTGGTTGAGCTTGGGAGGAAGATGAGGTTGTGAGGCCACCGAATAACCTGATTCAGAAGAGAAACGAATCCCCCTCAGCTGCGATGGGCTTCGCCACCTCTGGGCTCTGACGGACCACAGAAAGCCAAGCCACCTCCACTGTCCATGTGGGTAGGAAGAAACCAGCTCTAAACTGTACCACTGTCTACATACATCTGTGCTAGAGTGTAAATCAGGAATTGCAGAGGTAGCCAAGGAATTCACACTCAGCTGTAACCTTTCTCACAGACTTCCACCAGGTACTCACAAGAAACACTGGGGGCAGGAGTCTGGTTCTCTCCAGCCCACCTTGGAGGTACAGGTAGGGGAAAGGCAATTAATTAAGGGCTGTTGGGACACAAAGTGCCATGTACTTCCTGGATTCTTCTCGCTTAGGAATCAAAAGTCTTAAGCTACCAGGGGCAGAGCAGTACTTGCTTACAGGGCTTCAAGTGCTGTGGCACACAAGGCCCTCCCCACTCCACTGGACATGTAGACTAAAGCTTCAAGTCTCCAGGGTGGCGAAGTCTATTACTCCCAAGGCAGCAGACGGAGATGCATGGCTCAATAGCTGCATGAAAGGCGTTTGATAAAATTGAACATCCATCTGTGATTAAAAACTCTCAGCAAACTAGAACTTTCTCATTTGATAAAGGACATCTACAAAAACCTATAGCTACCATCATCTTTAATGGGAGAGACTGAACCTATATATCCTGATGTATCCATACGATGGAATACTACTCATCAATAAAAAGGATGAAGTACTGATACAAGCAACAACATGGATGGATCTCAGAAGCATCATGCTATGTGCAAGAAGGCAGACTCAGAAGGCTATAAACTGTATGTTCGTGTTGGGTTGATAATCAGGAAAAGGCACATCTATGGGGACAGCAAACAGATCGGTGGTTGCCAGGGGGCCAGGGTGTGGGACTCACTTGACAAGAGTGCACAAGTGAACTCTGTGGGATGATGGTGGTGACTACACACCTCTGTATGTTTGTGAAAATTCATAGAGCCTTATCCTTAAAAAGGATAAATTACACCTGAAGAAGCCGGACATTTAAGAGCATGGTTCAGGAAGAAAGTATTGTGCTATACTCAGTGCCAAAATAATTGCTAAACCATCTGAAGAAAAGTAACTTTTGATTTCTCATGTCATGAGATAAATTTTAATCGATTAGAGATATGAATGAAAAAATCAAACCATTAAAAACTTAGAAACATGCAGGAAGTATAGGTAGTGAATACATAGGGGATAAAAGTCTAAAGCACAACAAGGAGGTGAAGACCTTAACAGTGAGGATAGTGATTACAAGAGGTAGGAGGAGTGTGTCCTTGAGAAAGGACCTTTGGCAGGAATCTCTTTTCTCTCTCACTCCCCCCACCCTGTCATCTTCCCTCTTTCCCTCCCCTTCCCTCTCTATCTCCATCTCAATAACACGGATGACAGTTACATGGACAGTTGTCAAGATTATTTATCACTGTGCAGCCTTCTGTATATGTGCCATATTTTATAATAGAAAAAAAAGGGTAAAATTGGGGTCCAAGTGTAATTTTCTACATTTTACAATGTAGAGGATTTAGGCACAGAGAGGCAGAGTCCATTGAAGATTAATTTCTCCCATTTCCTCGCCCAATTCTCCATTCCCAGTCCAATGCTCTGCTAGCCAAAGCAGTCACATTTTTTGGAACAAGTTAGCAGACTCTGAACCTTATAGACCAAGGCCAGTTTGAAAGGACCTAGGTTACAGATATGTGATGTTTAATAAAAAATGAACAAACAGTGAAATCTGAGTGTTGGAATGGAAAAAGCCTTTTAAATATCAAAGTAAAGACAGAAGCCATAAAGTAAAAGATCAGTAGATTTCATTACTCTCGTGTTAAAAATGACATACAAATTTTAAAGTATTAAAGCAAAATCAAAAGACAATATGCAATTGGGGAAAATATTTTTTAAATACATGGAAAAAATACATAGAAAATAAAATACATGGCAGATAACAGGTTAATATTTTTGATCTACAAAGAGCCCTTAAAATCAATAAGACTAATATCCCAATAGAAAAGCAGGCAAGGAATATGAATTGGCCATCTTTAAGGGAAGAAATACATATTTTTAATAAGCATTTAAAAATATTCATTCTGGGTCACCTGGGTGGCTCAGTCGGTTAAGAGTGTGACTCTTGATTTTGGCTCAGATCATGATACCAGAATCATGGGATCAAGCCGTGTTGGGGTCTAGGCTGAGGATGAGGCCTGCTTAAGATTCTCTCTCTCTCTGCCCCTCCCCTGCTCATGCTCTCTTTCTCTCTCAAATAAAAAATAAATTTAAAAAAACATAGTCATTCTCTCTAGTAATCAAATCATCGTACATTAAAAGTGTCATACATTCAACTGTTCAGGATTAGAGAAAATGGAAACATCTAGTATGGAGAAGCTGTAGAGAAAAGAGCACTCTGAAGTATGTGGCTGGAGAGCAGTTCAGCAACATTAACAAGAGCATCAAAAATTATGTATTCTCTGATTTAACAAATTATGCACAGGGGTGCCTGGGTGGCTCAGTTGGTTAAGCATCTGACTTCAGCTCAGGTTGTGATCTTGTGGTTTGTGAGTTTGAGCCCTGCATTGGGATCTGTGCTGACAGCCTGGAGCCTGGGGCCCGCTTTGGATCTGTGTCTCCCTCTCTCTCTGCCCCTCCTGTGTTCTCTCTCTTTCTCTTTCTCTCTCTGTCTCTCTCTCTCTCTGTCTGCTTCTCTCTGAAAAATAAGTAAACATTTAAGAAATTAAGAAACAAATTACGCACAAAGATATTTATAATAGTGGTGCTTGGAAATGACCTGAGACATTGCAATGAAGGGGAGCTGGCTAGGTTGTGCTATTTTTGTGAACCTGGGCGTTTTCTAGCCGAAATGGTACCTTTGTGTGATGTAGGAGAAAAGGCTCCTCTTACTCCAGGGAGACCTCACCACATGCCAGTCCCATGGCTTCTGCAGGCAGCGGCTTATATATTGGACACCAAGGCTCTGATAATGTACATTGTGATGCTATAGTATATAGCCATTAAAACACATGTTTGAATAATTTTGAATGACATAAAGATATGTTCACAGTATGCCATTAATCACATAAAACATATGAAGCCCCAAGAGTAGTTTCTGGAATGTAACAAAAGCCATTCCTTTATTTATTTACGTATTTATATATGTATACATTTTTATAGAAAACCTAGATTTACTTGTTAAACTCTTAAAAGACAAAACAGTTATCATCTGAAGTACTCTGAGGACTTCATTCCATTTTCACTTGTTGTTATGGAAAGTGACATAAGAAAGTTAGAAATGTATATATATATAACCTAAGAGGTTATAACCAAACATTCTGGTGAGACATGGTGAAAGGCGGAAGAGCTAGTCAGAAGCACTTGTTAGTGGTAGTAAATGAGGTTGTGATGTTTCCCAAAGGGCTCCCTAAAGATGCTTGAATGAATTTATCTGGGTCCCAAATTAGTAATCAGACCCTTCCCCCTGTGGAGAATGAGCAGAGGCCAGGATTTCTCTGAGACCTTGTCTTTTTAAGGGGTATGGAAATCCTTAGCTTCTAAAGGGGTGTATCTTAGACTCAGCCTCCCTCCTTCCCATCTGGTGTATCTGCACCTGCACATTCTCATCACGTAGGCCTGCTGGGTTACAGAAGATACATACAGTGGAAGAAGGGACTATAGGCCTACTCAGAGAGTACCTATACCCAGAAGGTTTGGGGGTACAAAGACCCTCTTGGTCAAGCCTATTTGCCTTTGTTAATAAAGGCCATAGCATCCAATGCTCATGGCAACTTTTTGCCTCAGTATAATCTGCCTCTAAAAAGAACTGGTTCAGGTAGCTTTTGGAGAAGGACAAAGACTGTCATCAACAGCCACTCCATAGTAGAAGAGGCACCAAGTTCTTTCCTACAGTCACGTGCAGAATCCCACAGCAGAATAAATCATCCTCAGAGATCAACAGCTGCATATTCAAACTGACCAGCAACTGCTGGGGCAGTACTGACCTCTATCCCCTCTTCATAATCTCATTGAATCTTCGATCCGGACTCCAGCCATTTATACTGGCTGCTCACAGACTGAGAAAGCGTACCTTCTTATCTCTCCAGTGTGGCTTGGCCTTCCACTGTTCAGGGGGGTAGTCCTGCTTCACAGGTGCAAAATGCAGGGATGTCTCCCTGCCCTTGCTCATGTGCTTCCAAATCATACTCTTCTCCATGGTAGTCATCTGAGTCTTCATCCTCAGGATCTGGATGCAAAGCCTGGCATTCCCACAGTGCAGCAGCGAATATTGCCTCCAGTGTTGGTTTACCACTAAGCACAAATCTAAATTGAGCAATAGGTTCAATATCATCATCGCTGCCTTCTTCTCTTCCTCCCTTTTCTTCTCTTACTTCTCCTCCTCCTCCTCCTTCAACAGATTCTTTGGATTCTTCTCCATATTTGGCATTCACCCAAACATACAAATGCTCCTGTGGATAGGCGTTTAAGTCCCTGGATACCACATGCAAACTAATGATGGGGTAGTCCATCGAGAATCCTAATCCAGAGCCATTTGACCAAGTCAGGTGGCTCTCAGCAATACAAAGGGTGCTGGTGCCAAGGTCCTTGCTGGTCAGCACAGCCTTGCTATCTATCTGGCTGCTGCTGCTGGAGCTCCCCAGCAGAGCAGGAAACTTTTGAGGAAGCTCACTGGGCAGGGAATGTCCCCACACAGATGGGGAGGTAGCTGAAGCACAGCCATCCAGCTGCTCACCTCATCCTGCCCCAGTAAAAGCTATTATTTTAAAGGTAAAGTTTTAAGTTGTGTACACAAGCCCAACTTAACGGAGTAAGTAATATATGCATAGAAAGAAAACTAGAAGAAAAATTAGTAAGATATATACCAATATTTTAAGAATATTTTATCTGGCTGGCAAGATTATAGACAAATTTTTTAAAAATTCTTTTTCATGTTTATTTTTGAAAGAGAGAGAGTGTACGAGTGGGGAAGGGGCCGAGGGAGCCGGAGACACAGAATCTGAAGCAGGCTTCAGGCCATGAGCACAGAGCCTGACATGGGGCTCGAACTCGTGAACTGTGAGACCATGACCTGACCCGAGGTTGGATGCTTAACCGACTGAGTCACCTCAATGGGCAACTTTCATACTCATTTTTTGTGTTTTTCTATACTTTCGATATTTTCTAGGTGGAATATATATTATCTAGGTGATTAGAAAAAGAAAACAGTAAAATCCAAAATCTATCTCATTTAAAGGGCTAACTGAGGAGGAATGTGTGATTTTGACTACTTTCATTACTTTGAGTTTTCACATAAAAGCTGAAGCCTTATGGATAGAGAGAAAAATCAGTGGAGAGCAACTGTCTAGAAGGGCACTTAGTGATAGGAGTGGAATGACCACAGTACAATGTGGAAATGAGCCAAGCCCGTGTGATACAGGCCTTTGACGTGCAGGTTGTAACCTGAGTAAAACTGTCTTCTGACCCAGCCCTGCTCGGCACAGATGTTAGGGGTCTAAAGAAAGCTTGGCACAGGGGAGAGAACAGATGGAGAACACTGTGGGAAGTCCTTATGTCCTCCACGCAGTGTTTAAGGCGAGGAGGTAAGGAGAGCAATCTTTTTGGAGCTCATGCTTAAGCCTGAAGTGACTTTATAACATGGCTAGTTACCTCTTTTATTTTATTTTAAAGCTTATTTATATATTTTAAGAGAGAGGGAGAACACGCACACGCAGGGGAGGGGCAGAGAGAAAGAGAGAGAGAGAATCCCAAGCAGGCTCTGAGCATTCAGGACAGAGCCTGATGCAGGGCTTGAACTCACGAACCGTGAGATCATGACCTGAGCCAAAGTCGGACATTCAACCAACTGAGCCACCCAGGCGCCCCTAGTTACCTCTTTATATCTGAGTTTCCTGTTCTGATAGGGTGTGGGGTGCAAATGAAAGTGTTAAATGTGGCATGTCCTTAATGGTTTGTTTTCCCTTAAGCCAATGGTAGTAATTACCAGTGTTAATGGGGGAGAGAAAGCCCAAGACTGAGTGAAATAATTAGATGTTTGTGTCCCTAAAACTGAGCTTAATACTTACCCCCACTCCTCTCTGCTTTCTTCTCTAATATTTTCCTGCACTGTTTACAACCCCCCAGGGGCCCCTCGCAGGCTTCAGAACAAAGTTTAAACTCTTCATCTGGGCACAAAAAGACCTGCTTTTCAGTCTAGCATCTTCCCTGTCACCACATCCTCCAACCATACCAAATTAGCTTTAGCTCTCTTAAACACGTATGGTATGTTAGTTCATGTCTCTGGGCAGTTATAGTCTTACTAATATTATCAAATGCCTACTGTGTGCCCGGCACTGTGTTGAATGTATTAATTAGCCTGTGCCTCTTACCAATCCTACCTTATCCCCATTTTATGAATGAGAAACCTGAGGTTCAGAGACACTAAATAATTTGCCTAGAATCACACAGTGAGTAAATGGTAGAGTCAGAATTTAAACACAGTTGTTTAACTGCATTATTGAGGTATGACTGACATAAAAAAACTAATCAATACTTGATGTATACAACTTGATGTGTTTGGAGATAAGTACACACCTGTGAAACTATCATTACTATCAGTGCCATAAACTTATCCATCACCTTTAAAAATTTCCTCCTGCCTCTGGAACCCAGGTTTGACTCAAAGTTTGAATTTTTTAAAAATTGTGGCAAAATAGATAAAACAGAAAACTTACCATTTTAACCATTTTTAAGTATATGCTTCTGTGGCATTAGGTCCATTTACATTGTTGTACAACTATCATCACCGTCCATTTCCAGAACTTTTCATCTCCCCCACCTGAAACTCTGTACCCATGAAACATAAACTCCCCAGTTCTCCTTCCTCCCAGTTGCTGGAAACCATTCTACCTTTTATGAATTGGATCACTTTAGGTATTTCATGTAAGTGGAATCAAACGATGTTTGTCTTTTTGTGATTGGCTCATTTAATTCAGCATAATGTCTTCAAAGTTCATCCATGCTTTTATAGTATGTGTCGGAATTTCCTTCCTTTTTAAGGCTGAGTAATATCCCATTGTGTGTATCACAGGTCTAGAATGTCACAGATGCTGTGTTTTATCTCATCATACCCCATGGTGTGGCACATGATGTCTTATTTGGCTACTGGTATTTTTAACTTTGATCACTTTTTCTTCTGGGTCCTACTAGGTGTCTCTACTGTAAAGTCTTTTTGTGATTAACAAGTACCTTGTGAGGAGATACTTTGAAACTATGTAAATCTTGCTTTCCCCATCAGCCTCTTGCCCACTAGATTTTAGCATCCATAGATGTTTCTTGATGAATACGTTTTTACTGCAATGGCACCAAACAGTGATTTTCTAACACCATCATCATTTCTTCTTCATTTATTAGTTATCTTTCTGCTGTAAAGAGCTTTCTTGTCTCATTTATTTATTCATCAATTTCTATCAGTATGGATTCATGGATACTACTCTACCCAATGGGTTATAAGCTGTTAACAATCATTTGTTTATTTTTAAATTTTATTTATTTATTTATTTATTTATTTATTTATTTATATTTATAAAGAGAGAGAGTGAGAGTGTGGGAGCAGGGTAGGGGGCAGAAGGAGAGAGAAAAAGAATCTTAAGCATGTTCCATGTCTCATGCAGACCCTAGGGCTCCAATTCCCAACTGTGAGATCGTGACCCGAGCCAAAATCGAGTCAGACACTTAACCAACTGAGCCATCCAGGCACCTCCATTATTTATTTTAATGCTCAGTATTTCTCAGATTTAGTCAGTGGAAGCCACTCCAAATTGGTTCTTGTGTCCCGTTGACATGTCTTCATCATTGTTGGTGCACTTCCTTACTTTATGACACAAAATGATGGTCCAGGTTCATCTTATTTCCCCCCCGTAGTCAGTGATTTGAAGAGAGCATATTTATTTATAGAATAAATATTTAGAATGCAAACACTGCTACCTAGGCTGTTTCATGTGCACCCACTAATGTTTAGCGTTGCAGGTTTCAGATTTTACCGCTGGTTCGTCACCGGATCCGGTAGGTGTCACCTACAACAGAAGATATGTGCATTTTATAGCCCAGTAAATGTTAGCTGTAAACCTGGTCCCCTGAGGGAACCCCAAAAGGATCTAGCACTGATACGTGTGACAAGATTGTTTGGTTTCCTTCTCTCAGATACTCAAGGGCTTGCCAGCATGGGAGCTCTGTTTAGAGAGGAAATAGTTTTTACATATTTCTCCTTAACGGTAATAGAAGCGAAACTATTGTTGTAAAGAGACACTGGGTTTAGACTACGCCATATGGCACTGAGAGGCATTCATCACTACAGCTTCCAGTGGCTGAACTCACAATAGCCCATATTTCTGCATTGATGGAGAATTAGCCCTTGACTGCCAGGAAACACCCATAGTAGCAGCTCTTCAGCCATGTAATTTAAAATAATTACTAATTAAATGAGAATAAAATAGAGTCCATAATAACAATAATAATCACTGTAGCATTGGTCATTATCCAAGTTACTATTTGGTGGAGCGTTACCTAGGGGAAGACGGCTTGCCAAAGGGGGACGACCCGTGAGGGACCCGCGGCTTCGTCGTTACTGCTGAGGTAAGGAATCGCAACTGCTCTGGGGGCCTTGATAACTACAGACCCAATTTTACATTCCATCCCTATCGCCGATCTCATGTTGTTTTGAGGAACTCACTCACTAATTCCGCAGGTGGCATGCCATGGAAAACCAAGGGACGGGAACAGCTGCACTGCACTTGTCAACGGATTTATATCATTGCAGGAAACAACTCAAGCAATCACCTTGTCTTCAGCAAGTGTCACTCTTCTCCCCTTCTGGGGAAAAGCAAGGCCCTTTCGCAAGAGGGTCCCTGTGTGTGTGTGTCTGACACCAAGTGGGTGTAAGTGGGTATGTGGGTTACTGTTAGGGGAGCAGGTTTCAGGTCACAGTGCAAAGTAAAAGGTGGAGGCTGTCTGGGCTAGATCCAGTGTTTCTGGGACTCATTGTCTGTGTGACCTAAAAGAACATGCGTTCTTTACTTATTCATTCATCTGACACATGAGTACCTACTAGGTGCCGGATATCCTACTGGGTACTGGGAATACTGATTAAGACACACATGGGTGCTGCCGTTGGGGATCTGGCAGTGCCCGGGTAGGGAGGAATATACGAATATGGAAGCGTAACAGTGCCATGAGGACAAAAAAGAGAGCACACGAGAGGAGAGCGGTGGGCAGGGGGGTGGGGGTTCTTTGAGACATGACATCTGTGAAGGGCTCTTGAGTATGCCATTTATATCAAGGCCTGAAGTCAAAGGAGTCTTTGGCCAGGCAAACCAGGAGGGAAGAATGCTCCCAGCAAAGAAGGTACTGTGGGCAAAGGCCGTGCATGACAGTGGAGCCTCATGAGTTTGGGGAGCTGGCAGAAGTGCATTGTGTACAGAGAGGCACAGGAGTACTGAGTGAGGGAGACTGTGACACAAGGGAGGGGCCCCCTGGCTTCAGGACTTCAGTAGGCTTGAGGAGGGGCCCGGATTTGGTTCTAAGTGCCAGGAGGCGGGGGGGGGGGGGGGGGGGGGGGGGGGGGGGGGGGGGAGGGGAAGCTTTGGAGCTCAGCAACGACAGGACGTGGTTTATGTCTGTAAAAGCTCAGTCTAGTTGCTGGTGGAGAGAGGCCTGGAGGGGGCAGGCCCTGGGCTGTCCCAGAGCAGGTAGGAGGTCATTCAGGTAAGAGGACAGCCACTCAGGGAGATGGCAGGGCGTGGTAGGAAGGGGACTGATGGGGCATTCATTAGGGCAGTAGACTTGACCGGGTGGCCAGGACTTGAGGTGTCAGGGCTGGTTCTCAGGTCTCTGGCTTGAGCAACTGGATGAACAGATGTGCTGTATGTCAGCAGGGAGCTATCCAAAGACAACTCTATCTGAGGGTTAAAATATTCAGATTTTTTTTTTATTGCGGCAAAATATACATAACAACACTTACCATCCTAACCATTGTTACATGTGCACTTCTGTGGCATTCATTCCCATTATGCCACGATCACCACCATCCATCTCCAGAACTTTTCCATCTTGCCCACCTGGAACTGTTCCTATTGCTCAGGGACTCCACGTCCCCCTCCCGCACCTCCCCGCAGCCAGCATTCTAGTCTGTCTCTATGAATTCGACTGCCCCAGGAACCTCATATACTCACACGATGCTTATCCTTTTGTGACTGGCTCATTTCACTCTGCGTGCTGTCTTCAAGGTTCACCCATGCTGTGGCCTGTGTCAGAATTTTCTACCTCAGGCTGAATAATTCTATTTTATGTATATAGCACATTTTATTTATTCATTCATCCATTGATGGATATTTGAATTGCCTCCACCTTTTGGCTGTTGTGAATATTGCTGCTTAGGACATGAGTGTACAAATATCTGTTCGAGTCCCAGCTTTCGTTTCTTTTGGGTAGAAACGAAATTGGTGGATCATGTAGTAATTTTATATTTAACGTATTGAGAAACCACCAAACTGTTTTCTACAGGCTATACCATTTTACATTCCTACCCGCAGTGCACAAAGATGCCAGCTTCTCCACATCCTCACTAACACTTGTCATTTATTTATTTATTTATTTATTTATTTTTAAACTTTAAAAAATGTTTATTTTGAGAAAGAGAGTGGGCATGACTGGGGGAGGGGCAGAGAGAGAGAGAGAGAGAGAGAGAGAGAGAGAGAGAACTCCAAATAGAATCCTTGCTGTCGGCACAGGTACCATCATAGGGCTTGACCCTGCAAACCGGGAGATCATGGGTCTGACACGCTTAATCAACTGAGCCACCCAGCCTCCCCTATTTATTGTTATCATTATTACTTTTTGGATAATCACTGTCCTAATGGGTGTGAAGTAGTATCTCATCTCACTGTGGTAAGACGCTCAGATTTGTAGATGAGGGATATTCATGTGACACTGTCAAGTAAATGGTTGGCTATACCAGGTGGGGTTTCTGATGAGTGGTCTCCTGGCCCGCAGGTCACTTAAAATTCTGCTGATCTGCAGCAGGCTCTTGTGAATGCCTCACTGTTGCAAAACTTCTATGGTTGTTCTACAGCATCCTATCTCTGCCAGTGAGCCTACTATTTGAGGATGGAAGCATTTGGGCATTTGGATTCACTTCTGGTGAGCAAATGACATTTGGTACCTGGTTCTCCCCTTTCTAGTCCGTATTGCAGCTCCAGTGGAAATTAACCTGGAATAACTAACTGAGCTGCGAATAAAAGTGGTGGAAAGGGAATTTATTGCCATGGTCTTGGGAGGTATATCTAGCTGAAGTCAGATAGGTCTGATGATCTTTTAGAGTGAGTGGAAGGCATTTTTGTTTGTTTCTCTTTTTTGTGTGTGTAACAAAGAAAATTCAGCTTTAAAGTGTTTTTCAATTTCTCTCTCAGCTCCCTTTCATTCTCTGATTTCTTCCTCTTAATGGGATAACATAAACCAGTTTTCTGTCGTCTATTATTCATCAAAGCTGTCGATTTACCCTGAACAGAATGAAGGCAAGGATGTTATTAAAATAAAACAACTTCCAATTGAGCTGCTAATAAATGCTGAAATGCATCCACATTTCTCCTATTGATTATATCCTGCCGACAAAGGCAAACACAAGCATGTACCGCATGCTGCCTGTGGAAATGAAAGATTTAATTAGATGAAAACCGAATGAGCTGGAAGATCTACTGTGCTCAGCTATCAAACAATTGTTATTCATAATTGGTTGTTTGAAATGTCCCTGCTTCTTGAGCCTTTTTCACTTAAAAAAATTCCCTACCATACATTAAGATGAACATGGTCGTTAGTGAATTTTCCCCTGTGCATTTTACAAGCTCAAGGTTGTGGGCTAGAATGAGCCCTGTCAGGCCATTAATCAGGTATAACAGAACATCTTGAAATTGAGAATTAGCAGGCAAGAACAGGGAAACAGCATGTCTTCTCCATTTCAGGCCCATCTTCAAATGCTGAAGGTGGGAAAAGAGGAGCTGGTGGGGAGGATGTAAGAAGAGGTCCATAAACCCAGAGAGTGGGATTCTTTAGAACTCACTAGCTCTGTAAGTGTGTGCATGTAAAGTTTAATGTCTGGTAAATGCACTCATGTTTAGTGATAAGAGTGTATTAAAGAGTTGGTATTCACTTTGCTAAGAATGTTTCAAGCACCCATCAAGTGGCCTGCTTTTGAAGATAGCTGGGAAAAGAAAAATGGATGGAAATCATTGCCTATGGTAGCCATGTGACGGTTAACCTTTATAGGTCTTCCTTCTTGGACCCCTGAGGCTTTGGTTTCCTCCCTTGCACAGTGGGGATATTAATTATATCTATCTCCTTGATTTGTTGTGGGGATTAAGTGAAATAATGTGGGCAAAGCTTTTAGCACAGTGACTGGGTATATGGGTATACACTAAATGAATGTCAGCTATTTGCAGTAAGAATTCACCTTCCATGTCTACAAGGCCCTGAAGGAAAGATATCATCTCTTCTATTATATTTCCCATAGCATCTTCCTCAGTGCTGAATACCCTGATCTCAGTAAAAATTTTCATCTGAAATGAAAGAAGTGTCAATCTCTCAATCTTTTTTTTTAAGTTTATTTATTTTGAGAGAGAGAGAGAGTAAGCGAGCATGCAAGAGTGGGGAAAGGGCAGAGAGAGAAGGAGAGAGAGAATCCCATACAGGCTCTGCACTGACTCTGCACTGACTCACTTATGAGAGGCTCAAACTCATGAACTATGAGATCATAACGGGAGCCGAAACCAAGAGTCAGATCCTTAACCACCTAGGCACCCCAATCTCTCAGTCTTGAGGTTCTCATAGATTTGGGTGGGAGTTGATAATCATTCAACAAATATGTATTTAACATCTTAAATCATTTTGATTTTTAAGGTTATTTATTTATTTTTGAGAGAGGGAGTGAGAGAGAGCAAGCACATGCAAGCCAGAGAGGGGCAGAGAGAGAGGTAGAGATAGGGAGAGAGAGAATCCCAAGTAGGCTCAGTGCTATCAGTGCAGAGCCCCACATGAGGCTTGATCTCATGAACCAAGAGATCACCACTTGAGCTGAAATCAAGAGTCGGACACTTAACCAACTGAGCCACCCAGGTGCCCCAACATCTTAAATCATTTAAAAAATAATATTTTGTTTTTTCAGATTACAAAAGAAATAACAGCTGCTCCTTGACAGAGGCAATAAGGGTCATGGTTGAGAGGGCAGGTAGTGGAGCCAGATTGTCTGGATTCAGGTTCCTGTTCCCCCAGCCACTGTGTTAGATTAGATGTGTTAAGACCCCATCAAACACTTGCACCAAAGTCTGGCACATAATATGTGTTCAATAAGCTCTAACTAGTACTTAATGAATTATAGTAAAAAACAACTACAGATCACTCATCCTCATGATCTTGCAATAATGATCAATAAATACTTATTGAAAGTGTGTTCTGTGATTAAGCACAGTGCTATGCATTGTGGGGCATCTACTAACATGAGCTCATGTATTGAACTCAGTGCTTTGCACACATCTCATGTAATTCACACAGCAATCCTCTGAGGTGGGCAGTATTATTATCCTTTCTTCTGAGATGCGAAAACAAGATCAGTGATGTCAGGTCACTTCCCAGGTCATATAAGTGGT